TTTATTTCATCTAAAGATCACAACAACTTGAATTCTTTTAGACTTGATTGTGATTCACTTTGATGTCTATTACTTTCTTACATGGAAATATATTTTTTGTTGAGCGCTAAGCTGTGGGAGAAAAGTAAAGTTAGCAACAAAGTTGATGATTTAAATGGTTTTTCTATTTTTTTGTATTTTGCTGGAGATGTATTTGAAATGGTGAAGATTGGTATGAAAAGACCTCTAGGGTATATTACAATGTGAATATTTGTCTATTTGTTTTGTTTTCTTATTATATTCTTAGGTTTGTGAAATTATTCCAAATGAAAGATACTGTTTTTTGGGACTTGAAATGTTTCTTAATTCCATACTTTTATAACGTTTTTATTTTTGTTTTCTTGAAAAATGCTTTATTTGATGCCAAGCAAATGAGTTGCTTTGGAGCTCAAAATATAATTCAACCAGATGTGAGAACTTGCTATGTTTGCTATTTTGCTTTGAGAAATGCTCAGAAAAAAAATGAGTTGCCGCATCAATATGAATCATCTGTATTTGCTGGTAAAAATTTATTCATTGCACCTCAGCTTGTTTTTTGGATTTGGATCCATAAACCATTGGTTTTGTGTCTTGGCAAGTTTGCTAGTTTATTGCAAATTGAGTATTCGCATTCTATATGGTTCTTTTGTAATTAATGCCCCCTCTTAGTTCATGAGAATTCTACGGAAAAGTAGAGATGGGTTCATATAATTTACTCTCGGCTTGCTTTTCTATAAGCATTGATGCTCTTAAGCCTTGTTTTGTTGGTCAATGGTAGAGGTGGGCAGGGACCGGTCCCTTGTGGGCCCATTAAATTGTGACCCATTAATACTGAAAATAATAGGCAACTCCAACATTAGGTTGAAGACCATAGTTTTTTCAATTGAATTGAAAAGTTTTTATTTAATTATAAACCTGGGCCCGCAAGGGACCGCCCATTAAATTGTGACCCATTAATGCTTAAAATAATAGGCAACTCCAACATTAGTTGAAGACCATAGTTTTTTCAATTGAATTGAAAAGTCTTTATTTAATTATAAACTTGAGCCCGCAAGGGACCGGTCCCTGCCCACCTCTAGTCAATGATGATTTATAAGTAGAATCCATCTACCCTCGGCTCTTTCAATATTTTTTCTTCGGATGGTTAACTTTTTGATTTTTTCTAAAGATCACAACGATTTGAACTTTTTTAGTCATTATTGTGATTCACTTTGATGCCTATTACTTTCTTACGTGAAAATATATATATATTTTTTGCTAAACGCTAAGTTGTGAGTGAAAAGTTAAGTTAGTAGCAAAGTTAATGATTGAAATGGTTTTTTTTTTTTTTTTTTGGTACTTTGGTGGAAATGTATTTGAAATGGTGAAGATTGGTATGAAGAGACCTTTGGGTTTATTGCAATGTCAAAATTTGTCCCTTTGTTTTGTTTTCTTATTATATTCTTTAGTTTGTGAAATTAGTCCGAATGAAAGTAATGGTTTTCGGAACTTGAAATGTTTCTTAATCTCATACTTTTATACCATTTTTAATTTTTTTTTTCTAGGAAGATGCTTTATTTGATGTCAAGCAAATGAGTCGTTTTGGAGCTCAAAATATAGTTCAACCAAATGTGAAAACTTGCTATGTTTGCTATTTTGCCTTGAGAAATTCTCTGAAAAAAAAATTAAGCTATGGCATCAATACGAATTATGTATATTTACTGGTCAAATGCTTGTGGCATCAAAATATACCCATTTCACCTCCCCTTGTTTTTTGGATTTTGGTTTTGTGTCTTGGCAAGTTTTCTAGTTTATTGCAATGTGAGTACTCGATTCTATAAGGTGCTTTTGTAATTAATGTCCCCTTTTAGTTCACGAGAATTCTACGAAAAAGTAGAGATGGGTTCATATAATTTACTCTCTGCATGCTTTTGTATAAATGTTGATGCTTTTAAGCTCTGTTTTTTGTCAGTGGTGATTTATGAGTGGCTCTTTTAATATTTTTCTTGGGATGGTTAAGTTTTATTTGTTCCAAAGATCACAACGATTTGAACTTTTTAGACATTTATTGTGATTCACTCTGATACCTTGTAATAATAGACAACACTATCATCTAGTGAAGGCTAAGCTTTATTATTCCCTAACAACTTCAGTAGAATGATTTGTTAATCTGTAGTATCTTTCTTTTTACATAACATTGTATATTGTTGTCTATCATTTGTACAAAAAATATTTGAAATGGTGAAGATTGGTATGAAAAGATCTCTGGGTTTATTGCAATGTGAAGATTTGTCTTTTTGTTTTGTTTTCTTGTTATATTCTTTGTTTTGTGAAATTATTCCAAATGAAAGATACTTGTTTTTTGAAACTTGAAATGTTTTTTTTAATTTCATACTTTTTTACAATTTTTTTTTTTTTTTCTTGAAAGGTGCTTTATTTGTTGCCAAGCAAATAAGTTGTTTTGGAGCTCAAAATATAGTTCAACCAGATGTGAGAACTTGATATGTTTGCTATTTGCCTTGAGAAATGCTTGGAAAAAAAATGAGATGTGGCATCAATATGAATCATGTACATTTGCTGGTCTAATGCTTCTGGCATCAATATATGCTCATTTCACCTCAGCTTATTTTTTGGATTTGGGTCCATAAACCATTGGTTTGTGTCTTGGCAAGTTTGCTAGATTCTTGCAAAGTGAGTATCCGATTTTATAAGGTGTTTTTGTAATTAATGTCCCCTCTTAGTTCATGAGAATTCTACGGAAAAAGTAGAGATGAGTTCGTATAATTTACTCTACGTTTGCTTTTTTATAAACATTGATGCTTTTAAACGCCGCCTCCCACCCCCCCTTCCCCCTTTTAAATCAGTGGTGATTTATGAGTGAAATCTATCTACCCTCGCCTCTTCATCACTGTTTAAAAACCTAGCTTGGAAGCTTCATCGACCCGGGTTAACATTTGTCTTATTCACCCAAAACCTCAGAATTTGGGATGATGATCGACGAACAATTGAAGGCCGGGATATTGGGGCTTTTGAAGAGAAAGTGCCGATGAGTGCAATGGTGGCAACATGATTGATTTTCGATGAGTGAATTGACCAGAAATCGAAAAAAATCGGTGACAACAACAACTGGCTTTTGCCGGCGATTAGCAAGGCTAACGGGGGTGGGGTGAGGTGGGTTTTGGCAAGGAGGAAGAGAGAAGTATTTTCGGGGTGATGAGGAAGGTTGTTGATGCCGGCGTCGGTGAGATTTGACCAAAATTGAATCGATTTCGGCTAGATCTTGGAAAACCAGTTTGCAAAAACTGGTGAATCGAAACCGAATAGGAAATTTTGTTTTTCCCATTCCCCAAACCGAAACTGAACTAGTTTCGAAACAAAATGAATTTTTGGTTCGGTATAGTTTTTGAATTTTTGTTTCCACCCCTAATGATTGGGGTGTTGTTGTCGCTAACTAGTCGCCGACCGATTTGTATTTTGAGTGTGTTTACTAAATTTCAAACCTATAAGGACTTACCCATAATTTTTAGGGGTGTATTTGCTGAATTTTAAAAGTTTTGTCACTCAGTTTGACCATCTAAACCGGTTAAATTGGACAACCTAGGATCGGGCAACTTTGTTGAGTTTCATCCCAGGTTGGGTCTTAAAACATTGCTCTTCATTGCTTCAAATATGTTAGAAAACTTTCTCATAACATATCATCGACATTAATTCTACAAATATCAAATACTGTATATAATTATTAAATCCTAATAGACATTAATTCTTTAGTTATACGTATTCATACATATATTTGATACCAAAAAAGTCTGAAAAGAATATCATATTAATTCGTATTAATAATAGGTCATTAAATTAAATGAAATTATTTCCATCCTTTCATATGAATATTCACGATCAAGAGTGAGGTGTTGGTAAATGGTAACAAAATACATATGATGCATCTCATGAAAGGACCATAACATCCTCAAAATCATGTTAATTCACCTTCACACTCTTTCCACATGATTTTCTTTTTATTTTATTTACCCTTATATCCAGTGACATACAGAGAACCCACTTAACTTTTTAAAATTTTCAAAAAAGTCATTATGTTTTATAAATTTTATAATTTTAACTCTATTTAACTTAACGCTTACCTTATAAAATAAATTATTAATTCACATTTTTTTAACTTTTTTCTCTTCTTCATTTCCTCTCATATTATATTTTTCATTTGGTTGGATATTCAAGAAAGACTACTATTTTGGATTACAAGATAAGATGATGCTCATTTTATTTTTATTTTTTTTTACTTAAAATTATTTTATTGTAGCTTTTTTAATTGATGAAAGATCATGAGTTATGAGTTTTTGTTTAGTTTCATAAATAGGTTTGAAATTAGAAAATTAAATTTCAAAATTTTGATATGAGTTTTGATTTAATTTTGTTTATATTGAAGAATATGTTAATTAGTTGTTGTTTTAAGTTGGATATGATAAATTTTGATTAGTTATTGAATAAATTTTGAATGATTTAAAGAATTGATGAAACTCTAAGTTGTAGAGATTTGGGGTTTTGGTTTAATTTTGAATATTGGTTAATTGTTTGATATTTAGAGTTGAATTTGATGAGTTTTCATTGATTTATGAGTTGAATTCTATTGAGTTAGTAGAAATTGTTTAAAAAACCCAATTTATGAGTTGAATTTTGATATATTTGTGTTTTTTTTAATTGTAATATTTTTTTAAGTTTCATTTTAATTGTATTGGTTAAATATAAGTACTATATATATTGTATTATAAATTTATAAATTTTGATATTTTAAACCACTGACTCAGAATCCTGACTACCTTATATCTATATATAATCTTTTACAACTTAAATTATACTAGATTTAGGTACATCATAATTAGTATTATCTTTCTGAAAATATTTTTGACTAAAGGGTAATAATGTCCAATTAAAATACTTCCAATTCAAAAACACTTGGCTCGAAAATCTAAACCAGGTCAAGAAGAGAAAAAGGACATTGCTCTACTCAGAGTGAAGCAGCTATATTTTAAAACCGACATAAGGCAACTCAGATCTCAGAATCAGATATCACTAACCCCACCCAGAAAATGATAGTTTAGTTCCAGAAGCAACCTAAAAACAATGGAAAGGTCTCAACTCTTCATCATTTTCCTTATCTTTCTTATTTGCTTTGCGGCAACCCCCTCCACAACGTCAAGGCCTGGCTTTCTCTACACAAGAACCAGAGGAAGATGCACTCCCCAGTAAGACTAACATCTCTTTAACAACGTCAATTCTATTATTCAGCCGATTTAACCAGGATTCTCTTGATCTTTTATATATACAGGTACTGGAGTAGTAGGAGAGAGTCGTGGCCGAGGATGGTCCCACACACATCAACCTTATCGAAGGTATTTGGATCAAGAGTTTACGAACGGTACAGATCTGATCTGACTCTTTTGGAAGCTACGAGTAGGAACGATGATGAAAATGCGTTTGGTGGGTTGGTGAAGGAGGCGAGTGCAGCGTTGCTTAACTCGTATGCGAGAGAAGGGTATCCTTATTCTGGTTGGGAAGTGAAGACTTTGGTTATTCAGGCTTTAGTTTCAGAGGAGGCTGCAACTCAACTGGCTCACAAGTTTTCAATGGCCAATCAGGCTTGTAATTAATTAGTGCCCTTCAGTTTTTATATCAAAATGTAAACTATATGAAATACTTAAGTTTATGTTATGGATTTACTAGTGTTTTTATTCGTGCCAAAATTTCCAAAAGACTTCCCAGTATATCATATAAAGAATTCTGGACTTTGAGGCTCTCAAACTAATGAAAAGCAAAAGCATATCTTAAGTAATCTTATACCTCTCAATTTTTATTTCAAAATTTTCAACCTCATTCATGTGTTAACTAATAAAATTTCTAATGTATAACATTACCTTTTTTTTTTTTTTTTTTTTTTGTCTTGTTTGGACATGTATCCCAACTAATCTCTCAAGACACTAGTAAAGCTACTGTAACTACCTCTATTAGCAATCAATAAAGGATTCGAACTCGAGAGCTTTTGAAATAATACATACAAGAGTTTTTATCGAATCACCCAGAGGTTATAAAAAAAATTACTTCCTTCCTAAATTATAAACCTAATTGAGAGTGCACTCACTAACTCTAAATGTTGTGACTATTGTCAGGTCTTCACCTTTTTATAATTAAATCCATTAAATTAAATTTAATGAAATATCATAATTTTTGATAGGACCAATATCAAGACAAATTCAATATTATTTATCTTCATAAAATTAACTTAGGGCACCTTCTAAACATTCTGATGCTGCGCTTATGGTAATACGAAGTTGAGAAGCGAATCGGAACCCAAAGTGTAAAACCCTAGAATGTCGTTTGGTTACAGACGATTTACCAAGTTAAACCGGGTTTTGTTATTCCAATAACTGACTTTTGTCCATAACTCCGTTTGTCTGGTTACCAAACAATCAGACCGACCACAAATATCTCAACTGCCCCAGCTCTGTTATAAACTTATCCTCATGCCCAAACAAACCCTAGCTTTCGGCTACGTTTATTCAGTCTCCATTGTTTGTTTTTCAAGAAAACTATAGCATCTCCTCCTCTCCTTTTTCCTTCCCTCTTTGGAAGGAAACGAATTATAAAATTCCTATAATAACTCTAAATCATTCTAATTTTCTCGATAAAAAATTGTGTTGTTGCTGATAATGGCGAGTAGAAAGTTGGTTCGAGACTTGCTTCTCTCTAGACATCCTCTGTTTTGTCAGTTAACGTCTAAACAGGTTCGTTTCACTCTAAAGTTGTGATTCTCCGTATGGTAATGGTGAAAAGTTTTGATTTTTGTTGGGTTTTCTGGGGTGGGATTTGGTGTTTTAGGGTTCGAGTACGAGACAGTGGTTGCTATCTTCAAATAGTTATTCGAGTAATCGTCGATTCAGTGTGTTTAACGAGTTTTCAAAGAAAGTTAAAGGCGAAGCTGAGAGGTACTGGATTCTTCACGCTCTCTATATTCATTCCTTTTTTTTCCCCTTGTATGAGTCATTATTCATTTTTATTATTTATGGTAATTATTTTGGTTGCAGAAACCCAGAATTTCATCAGTCAGTGAAGGAGCTGAAGGAGAAAGCAGAGGAACTAAAAGGGGTGAAAGATGAGCTGAAAGTTAGGTAATATCTGCATTAGTACGTTAATTGTTAGCATTAGTAGTTTTGTTAGTTAATAGGCTGAGACATACCTTTGTATGTCAAGGGAGGGCCTGAGATGGTGAAATGGCGAATGCAGAACAAAGCAGACGACTGAGCAGCTCTACAAACATGTGGATGGTGCGTGGACGGAGGCTGAATCTACTGTCAAAAAGGTATCATTAAATTATATAATTTTTTCATCCAAAAAATCTGTAGGAAAGGGTGCTCAATTCAGTTCTAGTCCATGACATAGGAAGGAGTTTGGCCAAATAATTATAAACTTTTGCTTTCAAATTTATGACATCGTGCTCACCTCTGTTTAAATGATGTACTTGTATTCTTAGTGTAATACAATACCACAAGTTCATTTAAGACAGATGAGCGGAAGAAAGGCCCTAGACTTGGTGTATTCTGATTCCCCCAACTCCCCACACACATATGCATGAGTACACTCTTTCATCTTGTTTTTGAGTTTTTCTCCACTGTTGTGAAAGATAAATTGTATTTGAAGATAGTATGGTAGCCTTTTCATGTTATAAGTGTTAATGCTTGCATTTGCTGAGGCGGTTGTGTGGTATCCAAAGAAAAAATATGGTTTGATTTGGTTTTATGTTGCAGGTTTCTGCCAACATGAAGGAGAAGATTTCAGCTGCAACGGAGGAGGTATGCTTTCTGTTTAGATTGTCTGCTTGTCAGTGATACTGCTCATATCTTGATCTGATGACCACATAATAATAGCTTAACCATTGTGTGATGTAGGTCAAAGAGACTTTTCGGAAGGGATCCACGGACACTTCATCTAAACCCAGTGATGATGTAAAAGATGAATTTAAGGCTGCATCTGGGGAAGAAAAACATGACAATTCAGGGTCTGGTAATAATGCAAAAACATTTAATGGGAAATTTAAGTTGAGTTTCTCTTCCCCAAAAGTTACGATGGCCTTCCAAAAATTGAAGGAAGCAAAAGTAGTTGATTTAGCGAAGAAGGGATATGACATTGTAAAGGATGAGTTAAGTGGTAATCCAAGTAAGAGAAAACATCTGGAATATACTGCTCCTCCCTCATGGTCAGGTGAAAGAAGCACTAGAACTGATCTGGCTATTGCACCTACGAGGCAATCTATATGGAGTAAAGTCAAAGAGAAGGTAAATATATCCTCGGGGCCATATTTCGAGGATATCTCAGGAAGTTCGTTGCCTTTCTTATGTTTCTTTTAAGTATTATGAAATAAATTCTCTCTTTCGTAGATGCAAAGCTATCCTGTATTCAAGCGCATAAGTGGGCTAAGTGAACCTGTTGTGACCAAAGGCCAAGAGGTATGCTCCTATCTATCACTTTTTACTTTAATCTGTCCAATTTTTGTTTATTGAAGGGTGCTTATTAACATTAAATATCAGATGCCATTTGACCACATTCTAGGTTTGTTATTAAGTAATTCAATTGGAGTGATGTTTCAGTGGGTTGATATTTTCATTTAGTTATTGATTTTTTTACATTTTTTTTTTTCTTTCAATAAATAAACTGACTGTCTACTGGTTTTAACTAATTCTTCTCATTTTTTATCATCTCACCATACTTGCCTGCTGAATATGTGTTGTGATTTTCTTCTTGGCTGGGCTTTGCAGATTGCTGAGGACGTGCGGGAAAGATGGGAGACTAGCGATAGTCCCATTGTTCACAAAATCCAGGAGTATGCTTCTCATCTTCGATTACCTCTCTTCTCATGGTTCATAAAGTAGATTGGAATTTGAGTTAATTTTGTGAATCTGTCTTTGGCAGTATCAATGAGAGTATCTTCCAAGAAACAGATGCTGCAGCATCAATCAAGGAAATACGGCGTCGAGATCCGTAAGATCGTGTTTCCTTTGGTGTTTTGTGTCACAATTTGATGTTCCAGTACTTAACAATCTATTTACTTGTTTTATTTGCATGGATTAGATCATTCTCATTACCAGATTTTGTGGCTGAAGTTCAGGAAGCTATCAGACCAGTCCTTAATGCCTACATGAAGGCAAGTTTTAGCTTATTTACCAATGCTGAAATTTTGATGTCCATATGTTCTAATTTTTATATTGATTTTTCTTTATTTTCCTCTGCTATATTTTGAGATATCCTTATGAATGATAGCAAGGTGAGTGGCATTGGTGCTCATTAACAAATGTTTTGTATGGGCAGGGAGATATTGAATCTTTGAAGAAGTATTGTAGCTCTGAAGTGATTGAACGATGTAAAGCAGAGCATACTGCTTATCAGAGCCATGGCATATTTTTTGATAACAGGGTATAGGGATTTATAAGTTTTATGTTTTTTATTCCTATCATAGTTGTGTATGCTTACATTGTTTAGAAGATGGTGCTCTCAAACTGATGCCATGGTCTAATGGAGTTGGTTTTAACAAAATAAGTGAGAAATGTTGGAAGGATAGAATTTTAAATTTGTAAAAAACATTTAAAATATATTTTCTATAATATGTCATTAAACATTTGGCATAAAGTAATTTTCATGTGTTTTTGTTTATGCCTAGAAATATTTGATTCACGTAGATCATTATAAATGATCTCTAAATTAGATAGTACATGCTCTGGAATAAGCTCTTTCCTTTTCTCGTTGAGTTGTCCTTATCGGTAAAAATCAAAATTTTCCTCCATACTTGTAACAAGTTATATGGACTTATTATGTGGGTTAGTGTATTCAATCTATTTTCTATTTGATTGAATAAATTACTGAGTGATGTGATTATTAAGATTATAGTTTGTATTACTGAAATTATGTCTGCAATATGCAGTTTATAATATCAATTGACTTAACACTGGTATTAAATAAGAATTGTGAACATTATATTTATGTTCGTTCTGATTAAAGGATTACAGGTGATTACACTAATATATGACCTTTTCTTTTGCGTAGATTCTGCATATATCAGACGTGGAAGTAAGAGAGACTAAAATGATGGGAGCTTCCCCTATAATCATTGTAGCGGTATGCAAAATTCTTTTCTACTTGGGAGTTTGATTGCATGCATTTGAAAGTTCTTAGTTGGGAAAGGCTGATCTGAAGAACATTTTTCTTAAATTTCACAGTTTCAAACACAGCAAATCTATTGTGTACGTGATAGACAGGGTGCAATAACAGGAGGAGGAAAGGTAAGTAATGAACAATATCTTATTCAGTTTTTCCCCTGGATGTGTGCTATTTTTATAGAGACACATTGATGTTATGCTAGAATTATAATATGCTACTTTTTAATATAATGGGATATACCATTAACCATTTGACAACAAGCCAAGGAACTCATTAACCTTTTTTCTTGCCAATTGAAGAAAAACTGAAAGTTGGAGGTGTGACTTGTGTAAATTTTCATGTTTCAGGATACGATACATACTGTGTACTATGCGTGGGCAATGCAGCAAGTAGATGCAGAAGAACTTGGGGAAGATGCTCTCTACCCAATATGGAAGCTTAGAGAAATGCAACAACTTGGTGTCCAATCCCTCATCTAGTTTTCTGGAAACTCCATCTTGCTGATGATGGTTGTAAGATTGGATTTTTTTTTTTTTTTCTGAATTTCTCTGGGTTTTTGTCTTTTCACGGCCAGGGAAATTATATTGTGAGATTATTTTTAAAATTATAAGAACCAAATAAAGAAATTGGGTACCAGGCAAATTCATCTCCATTTTTTTTTTTTTGGGAAGTAAGTCCCTTTTGAATTGGTTGTGAAACTTTCATCTGTTCACAAATGAAAACGTGCTGCCCATTGATGTTACTCTCTCTTTCTCTCTCTCCTTTAATTTGGACGTATTTTTACCGTAAAGTAGTGATATGTGTTGACAATTTACCATGCAATGATGCAAATACTGGGGAAGGGGAAGGTTCAATTATTTGTACATAGAGCCCCTTCATTCAGGCTGGGCTCCTTGCTGATATTTAGTTTATCAAGTTACTCACTCATTTATGTATCTCACATAGCGTCATTGTTGGTATCGACTATCGAATTCGTTCAACTTGAAAACTCTTCTATGGATATGGATATGGATATTATGAAAGGAATACTTTTTGTATACTTGCCATTACTGAAGCGACCACAGAATATTTTTCTGTTTTACGAGTTAGATAATGTTGTACTGGAGGAAGAAAAACAGCAAAAAGAAAAGTGGGTATCACTGTCCATCCATCTTATGAAAATGATGGTATGGTATCTCAGCGTAAAAAGCTTAGCTTAACACATACAGAGGGATTCTGTTACATAAAGAAGATCCTTTTCTAAGATACGATAAATATTCTAGAGATGGAAAAAGATCCTAAAATTGCATCAGAATATGATTGGATGGTAATACTAATACTGATACTCACTTAAACCCGCACTGAAGGTTGGAGCCAGGAAGTAAAAAAATCAAAATGATTTGAGCCTGTAAATTTACGGCAGCTATTATAACTGATACTATTAATTGAAGCGTATTCAATATGCCATTCTTTCTCTTTTCAATCATTCTTGGTAATTAGTCCTCTATCCTTAGCAATCTTCAAAGGGACAGGTTCAGGTTCTTTGCTTTGATTTCCCAGGTAGAGTAGTGACACAAGAAAGCATAAAGAACTGAAAATGCCGAAACCTTTTAGTAACATATATTATTGTAATGGCAATTAGATGATTAAGCATATGAATAATTAATGTTATCCTAGAAAACTTTTCACCCTTTACATACTGACTGCTTAATTTTAAAGTTTTATTTGTATCTAACAACTAGCGTCATAACTAAGCTAGTTCATATTCATCCACAATTTCATCAAGTTTCGTGCGGCAAACGCGTAGCGTCGGAACTAAGCCAGTCCAAAAATTGGACCAAGAGAATACGAATCCAGCAATTAAAAAAAAAAAAAAAAACAGAACAACTCCCCTTGTTAATTGTTATAAAGAACCATTATAACACTCTCTCCAGGACACTGCAAACCTGAGTCCAACGAGCCCACAATTCCATGTCTTGTTTTAACCTACAAGTACCACCTCCCAAGAAGGCATGGAAGACCTTCAAATCAAAATTACAAAGCAAGTTGCATAAGCTCAACAGGTCCAAAGCTATCAAAAAACCTAAAACTCAACTGCCTGCAACAAACCCATCTCCCTTCATTGAGCAACGAATTCAACGTAAAAAAAATCTTCCTTCAATATCCCGCCAGGGTATTCGTTCTCGTAGCCATCGGCGTTATCTCTTCAAAAAGAAAGCTGCACCTGTGTACATAGACAGACTGTTTAAAGAACCAATCGCTGCTGAGCTTTTTGTAAAGTATCCACGACCATACCCAAATACAAAGGATGTGAAACTCCTCCATCAGGTAGAAGGTAGAGCTTCAGGGTCAGGGACAGGGACAAGCAGTAAGGAAGAAAAGGCTAGTGGTGGTGCAGCAGATGATATGTGGGAATCGTTGGCATTAGCATCGCCACAAATGAATGGGATAGACCAAAGAGCAGAGGAGTTCATTAAAAGGTTCCGGGCTGAAATGCAGTTTCAGGAGATGATGGCACGTCGTTTGTAGCATTTGTTCATGCATGGACAGTTTTATATATATATATCCCTTTTTTTTTTCTTTTAGTGTAAACGAGATTCTAAAGTAAAGCTTTGGAAGAGTACATTTCCTATTCGTATTTATGGGGAATATCGATCCATCTCGTATGCATCAATGGTATCAGTTAAATTACTCAGAAAAACATGAATGAAAAAGTTTCTCTGCATGCTTGAGAGAGGCTTCAGTTTGTTTGGATGATATCTATTAATTATGTATCATTTCTCACATTAATATTCTCTAGAATTATTTGAGAATTGATAATTAACATTATGGTATTATTTCTAAATGTAAATTTATACTACTGCCTGGATTAAGGATATATGAGATCTTATCTCATTTCAAAACCCAAAATCAAAGTATTTATGCTCGCACTTGATATATAATTATGTAATAAATCAACATTGCGTTCTCGTTTTCAATTAGAATATCCCTTTTCAGGTAATTTCACTTAAATATTATTCTTAAGAAAAATATACTAAAATTCTAGTTTAGATCGGTGCAATTAACGGTGAACCCGAATTTGACAGATGAGTCACATTTACATGTACAAAAACAAATTAAAAAAAGGATGAGTTCACCACCCAGAAACTTTACAGGACTACTAAAATCCTAGGTCATCGTCCATGTTAAAAAGTTGGAAAATATTTAAGCACAACTGCATGGATTTCGCCTATATAAGATACATTGGAAGTAATTTAGAGTAGCATATCATTGTTTGCTGACATTTAGAAAGAGAGAAATTCTCCAACATTTCATGATACAACCAGCAAGATCCTAAAAATATACTACCATCGAATCCTTACAACAGCAAATGGAAACACTCCAAGCTTTTCAATCCAGATCATCAAGGCTCCATAGTATTTTTATAGCCCCAGAGCTTTCCAGTTCAGAGATGGACTCCATACGGAATTCTGTTTGCACATGTCAACTTAGTGCAGGAAATCCCTCATGGGATCATCATGATGCACTTTCTTCATCCTATATGCCTCCATATCCTCGGGAGTAACCTGCAGTTCATACAAAAATGGTGAGAATAACCACAAACCGGACGCAATACTCAATCTGACTAATATAGGGTGAAGTGGTCATACCTCATCATTCCATCTGACATTGTATTTCCTCTTTCTCTCATCTTTCTCCTCTCTCCTCCTTTCGTCCTCCTGCCCAAACCAAGCATATTCAGTAACCATAAACCAACAATAATAAACATCTGGAATCGAAGCCTATAATACAATTCCAACTGAAAAACAGAAACACAGCACAGACACTTGGCCCAAGTAAATTGACAGTTGAATGACAACTGTCAATTTTACTCCTGATCCAGTTAAATCTCCTGATAAAAACTAAATCCCTGCTAAGCCACTCTCTCTTCTCCTTTTGAACAAGCAACTTTCTAGAGTAACAATAAAAGTCGTCAGCTCACATCTCAGTGAGAAATTCAGAAGATTCCACTCCCTCTCTTCTCTCCCAGAAAAAAACATGATAACAAATAACCAAACGAATGAATAAAAAACAAGACATAAAAAGGTTAGAAAATATACGCACCTTCTTGAGTGCATCAGCAAGTAATTTCTCATCCAAAACCAAATCCTCTGGAACATCAGTCCCCCAAGTGACATGCCTTTTCTCCTCCACTGGTACATGCTCTGTTATAGGTAAAATGAGGAATTACAAGATTATTGACAAGAAAATAAATATCTTATAAGACCAACATGAATATAAAGATAGTAGAAGAACCAGAGAAAATAGAAGTTAATATATCAATTTACATCACTTGAGTATCACTTTGAATAAAAGCAAACCCAATGCAAAACTACTTTGAGCATTTCAGCATAAAATTATAACAGGGTCACAAAACTTAAAAGCAAGCTAGCATAGTAACCTTCATTGGCCTCTTTACGGGCAATATTGGCCTTCATGAGGTCTGTTGCAGCCTCTGCAGCCTCAATTCCAGCTGCACCTGTGCAATAGCTGTTACGTATCACTTGCTTGCAGCATTTATACCCCCACTGATGATCCTTCCACCACGAACCCCAAACACTAGTGTGATTATTAATATAAACGTCCTCTTCATATTTGCTCTTCGGAAGTGCTGTCTCCTGTAATAACATCAGATTGAACAATTAGATCCCTAGCACAGTGTACTAGAGCAAAGTACAAATAAGTTTTGAAGCTCTTTCAAAATGTTTTCAAAAAGCCTTTCATTTAAAAACCAAAACAGAACTACTTAGTCAGTTACAATCCTTCTAAAGAAAGTGTTACATGTTTTAAACACAGAAATACCAGGAATACAGGAAACATTGTTAATCTACCAAAAAGAATCTACAATAAGGCGACAGGCATATTAGGACCCAAACTTGATATCAGGTCATGACAATTTGTCTCCTAGAAATTCCAAGGGGACCTCGTAAAAAACAGAGAAAAAAATAAAAAACAGACCCAGATGCCAATCTTTAACTTGAAAACATAATTGACCCCCTAGGAAATTACTTAATTCTTGGTTGGGTAATCTGTTACTGTGTTCATTGTACTAAAGAAACTCAAACACCCAGAAAACATATGTTCATAGAGTATGTAACCAAACAAACCTAAAGATCTAATTGACATATTAATATATCATTAATATAATATTTACCTGTCCCTTTATTATCCGGCCAGTACGATCATATTCAACTTCTCTTTCACTTTGTCCCAAAAGCAGCTCTCTTGGAAGTTCTTCCTCAGCAGCTGCATTGCCATATTTTTCCATAATTGTGTCCTTTGTTTTAGACTTCAACTTCTCCTTTATGACCTTATAATTCTTATACAGCAATTCAGCTTGGGAAGGAGCAGCTTGCATGTGAATGTCTTGTCCCTTATCAAATGCTTCCCAAGAATGGATGTTGAGCTCCTTAAACTCCAAAGCTTGACCACTATTTCTGTATTGGTTATCCCCCTATGATATCAAATAGAATGTCAGGAAAAGGTAAATCATGTTCAACAAATATATAAAGCTTTGCAATGGAACTACAACAGTAGTTTAAATGCTGGGACCCAATTTTTCCAAGTCACTTACTTCATAAAATTTCTCATTTGGATCTGCATCAGGAAGTGGATCTTCACGCATGGATCGAGTTTTAGGATCATAGTGTGCCGAATTAACATCCAGATTTAAGAGGTACTTTGCTGTATCCTCCCGAATTCGCAAATTCCTAAGAGAAAAGATATTTCAGTAACTGCAACTCCAATTAAAATGCTTGAAAAAGATAACACGTCATAACATACAAGTCCATCAAGTACAAGCTGAGGAAGCAGTCAACGAGGATGCATTTCAAAAAGAGACTCACCTTACAGTTCCTGTGCTCCCACCACCTGTTGTACGTACACGTTTTTCAACCTTTGCAAAATCCATTTGCTTGCTCTCATCAACTTTGGCTTCATCTACCCTTAAATCATCGTCATCATCGTCCCCATCACTGAGCCCATCCTCACTACTCTGGTTATTATTTTTCTCCTCTAATTTCTTAAATTGCTGCTCCTTCAAAAATTTCCTCCGTGCTTCATCCCTGGCTTCATATCTTTCAACAATTCGGGCATAGGTTGATGTATCATAGCCATTCCAACGGTCTCTCTTCCCATCGTAATCAAGCTCAAAGGTCTCAATTTTTTCATCAGGTGCAATGTTTATGTTTGTCCACCTTGCTCCCATTTTTCGAGGACGTTCCATGCATGACTTGGCATCATGTGTCATTGCTCCACAGCTATAACAAACATAAAATAGCTTTAGAACACTACTTCCTTGTGTAAATAATTGAAAAAAGAAAATATTTAAATAAATAATATATTTTTAACCCAAACCCTCAAGGGGAAAAAGAAAATGTACTATAGCAAAAAACCTATATACTTCTTAAGAAAAAATAAATGCACAGGGAAACGTCTTAAGCATATACGTCCAACAAGGAACTACATGTTAGAGGGCCAACTCAAGAGATGCTTATGCCATTCTAGCCCTAGGATTAAATTTAAGGCTGAGCTTCCCTTAAAACCATAAGAAATGTTCATTTTGTTGGATTAAAAAGGATCTCATCATCACGCCAAAGAATAACTCTAGGAAACTGAAGTGAAAGAATGGAGAGAAATATTATGTAACTTACTTAGCGCATGCACCTTTGCGGTATTTTTCAGCATGGAAAATTTTCGCGCCTCTGTCATACCATGACTTTGTGTAATTGGGGTCGGACTTCCACTTTCTTTGATGTTTTAAACTCTAATAAGCCATAAAGAAAGAACTGTTTCAGTAAAGTGTCTTAAGATTGCTGGGTATGAGGATCAAACCAATGCAAAAAAGAATGAAAGTAACTTACCGGCTTTTCAGAATTGAGATACCATGGTGCCGAGGACATGTACTGAGGTATATGAGGATTGATTTCTTTTCCATCCTCATCAACCTCGGCAGGAGCAAGCCCAGCTTTACGCGCTTCTTCTAATTCAATTTGCTTCCGGTGATCCTCCCTAGACTTAAATGCCACTGCAAATCCAAGCCAAGCACATTAAATACAAGGCATAAATGTGAAGAAAAAAAACAATAATTTGAAATCAACACAAATTCTAGGTAAATAAAATTACGTTTAAATGGCTAATACCTAGAGGTCAATAGAATAATTTTTAAAATTCATACACCAGTAATTAAAATCCTCTTAATGATTAACATTTCCAATTGAGAAGGTTTGCCCTACAAACTTATCGATGACAAAACCCCAAGAGATTCCGATAAATTTAAAATTCGAAACTGATACCAAATATCACCACTACTAACTAATAAAAGAAAAATAGACGGTAAAGAAAGATAATCAAAAAGGGTGAAAAACACGTACCAGATGCTGTCGCCATATTTCGTCGAGTCAATTAGAAGACGATCTTTATCGATCTCAAAATTGAATCGATTTGGTAATGAAAGCAGAGAAACCCTAGAAATTGGGAAAAAAAGGTAATGGTTTGGCAGATGTGATAGCGTAAACAGTAGGGTATGAGTCGGTTTACACATGTTTCGTTATTTTCCTTATCGTATTAGTAGTAGGACATTTAAGGCGGCTAGTATGTTGAGATGTTTTATACTTTTATTAAAATAAAAACACTTACAGCTCAGTTAAATGGAAACGACATAGTTTCAGAAATTGGGCTAGCTATTTATTATATTGTATAAGAGTAATGCTATATTTACACCATCTATTATATCATTTTTATTATACCATGATGTGGCATATTTCATATCCACATAAATTTTTAATTATTTTAAAATTTTAATATTATAATAAAATAATTATTAGTAAAATGGTGATAGTGTAATGAAAATGATGTAATGAGTGGTGTAAATGTAGCATTACTCTATTGTATAATGTTATTTGATTTTGATTTTACTTGTTACTTCCATTTATTATAGTATTCGGACTTTTGAGGCAGTTAACTATTTAACTCTTAAGTGAAAGAAAATACCAACATTTATAATAAAATTTTATATCTTTACTATGAAAAGTAAAAGTTTGATCAATCAAAATAAACAAATTTTAGAGTTGAGGGAATTACAATTTCAAGCATGGTAAGTAATTACCCAAATTCTAAAACTTTTAATTAATATCTATTCAGAATCTTGATGAGTTTGAATAACATATACTGTACAAAGTTTTAATACAAATATATGGGTAAGATTAATAGCATAAAAATAGATAAGTTTTAATATAATTATATGGGTAAGATTAAAATTAATGGCGTAAAAATAGTGATTGGAAGAAGGAATGATAATAAATGAAAGTAGATGAATAAGAGGGTTTTAGAACCCTATTCGATTTGGGTGCGAGCCGTTCCTCAAAGACTTGATAGAAAGGCCCAGTCCAGTCGATAACCCTCATGTCAAAGAATTAGGGAAGATAAAACTACCACCGATTCAACAACTGTCATAAAACACACAAATTAAATTGATAATGTGTTTAAGAAATAACCACATGTTCATCATTTTTATATATCCTTAATTTAGAACAAGAATAAATCATTTTTAAAGTAAGTATTGTGAATGCTTTTGCAAAAGTAGTCCACATGGATACAAAGGATGTAACTATCATCCAAATCTTTTAAGATTTTATCCTTAAAAATATATAGGAATGCACCACGTGAAACTTTTATTAAACATCACTTCTTCAAAAGAAATGGAATCCCCACATTCTCATTTAATTAATTAAGGGATTATAATAATGTAAACATCCAAATCTTATACGAAATTCATCCCTACTAATTAAACAGCCTGGTATAAGGCCAATCGCTTGCCTCATTATGTCAAAGTTAAATAAAGCTATGGAAAATATATCATTTCAAATCAAATCAAATCATTAATGAATTATATAATTGTTTAGTATTATGGGAGCATGCCTCTGTTGAAGGTTATAATGGATTTTGATCAATCACCAAGATTTTGTTAATTACAAATTGATGCTCTTTTATACTTTCGAAGATAAATTTTCTATTTCTCACCCAAAAAATTATATTAAAAAAAAATTACAACCAACAGTCATTGCTCAAATCCCTGGTAATTCAGGTATCTCCCCAGCTCTAGTAAAAAGATTGTACCAAAAGTCCATGTTATCATACATATTACAACCGTTATTGAGTGGTTCAATCGTAGCCGCCGCAACCGGAGTCGATGAAAATTGTAGTTCTGCGTTCATCACTGAACTATCAGCTGACAACACTTCAGACCAGAAATTCTCATCTATTATTTCAAGCAAACTTTGATCTGATGAAGACGACTCCATCTTCATGCATTTGTTGTTAATATTATTGCTCATGTTATGATCAACACTAGGCCCGGACGAAACTTCACTCGAACACTCTTGTGAAGAAGAGACTGGTCCATGGTGATTAATATGTTCTGTGCTCTCGGATCTCCCATGGATACTAATATTCACTTGTTCTTGTTCCTTTTTGGCGTCTTGGTTAATATTATGCTTGGAAACATCGCTCATGGACATGGTGGTGGAATGGTTTTTGTTTTGTTTGAGTCTCTTTTTCAAGTGGGTGTGCCATACATTTTTTATTTCATTGTCCGTTCTTCCCGGTAATCTTGCTGCAATTGCCGACCATCTGAAATCATGGAAAGAATCACATTAGGATTTGAATTAAACAATCGGATGATCCTGTTCTTTCAGAATTTTTTAATGATGTAAAACCTTTGTTCTTTAGTCTCTGTTGTGTCACATGAAAAGATTTTTTTTCTGCACCATTCAAAGTGCTAATCTTGTCTAGCNGTGATTAATATGTTCTGTGCTCTCGGATCTCCCATGGATACTTATATTCACGTGTTCTTGTTCCTTTTTGGCGTCTTGGTTATAATTATGCTTGGAAACATCGCTCATGGACATGGTGGTGGAATGGTTTTTGTTTTGTTTGAGTCTCTTTTTCAAGTGGGTGTGCCATACATTTTTTATTTCATTGTCTGTTCTTCCCGGTAATCTTGCTGCAATTGCCGACCATCTGAAATCATGGAAAGAATCACATTAGGATTTGAATTAAACAATGGGATGATCCTGTTCTTTCAGAATTTTTAAATGATGTAAAACCTTTGTTCTTTACTCTCTGTTGTGTCACATGAAAAGATTTTTTTCTGCACCATTCAAAGTGCTAATCTTGTCTAGCAGTAGTTGAGTGCTATGGAAAACGTGATTTAATTTTTATAATTATATCAACACTTCGCATCAAGGAATCTTCTCAGTCCCACATGTTTCTAAACCTATATTATTTGTCTACTTCTACTGTTGAACCATTATTGTACTCTGATAATAAAAACAAACACATATGCTCTTATTTTTTTCAATTTAAATCAAGGTAAATTAATATTTTTTTTTTTCTGACAATTCAATCACAGATTCTTATTTGTGTATTCTCAAGAAAACTATAGTCAGGAGATGAGATTACATACCTATTTCCTAACATTTCATGTAGCTTGATGATGGTTTCCTCTTCTTCGCTGCTAAAGTTTCCTCGTTTAATGTCTGGTCTTAAGTAATTTGTCCACCGCAGCCTGCAACTCTTTCCACACCTTAACAAACCTGAAAAAGATTGAAGTAGTATGTTAAAACCAACAATCAACATCTTTCTGAAAAAATTTCCAGGAAATGATATCAAGAAGTAAGCATTTTGTGAAATTCCCAGGAAAGAGAAATCACAAACTCGATCATATAAAGAAACTTTTACAGAAAGTTTTCTGAAAAGTAGCATTAACATGTTCAAGGGTTTGACGAAATTGAGGTTATATGAAATTACCGGCTTGTTTGGGAAGCGCTCGCCAGTTTCCATGGCCATAAAGTTGAATGTAATTGATGAGTATCTGATCTTCTTCCGGAGTCCAAGGACCTTTCTTCAATCCCATCTTCTCACAGCACGGAGCTCTCACCATTCTGGAGCTTCTAACTCTTTACTGGAGAGGAAAAGTAACCTTTTGTTGATTAGTATTCACTCTTGAACGATGAACCCAGAAACTCAAAGCAAAACACAATGAATGTTTGGCCATGAAACTCCATATATATATAAAAGAAGCAAGAGCCACCAAGTAATAGTGCAGTGGTACAAAAAAGTCCAAAACATACCATTGAAATTGCATATAAAAAAGTAAATAACTTGATGTTCAAAAGGCACATAATCAATTCTATTTCTACCTACAATTTCGAGGAACTCGGCTTTTTTTTCTCTCTCTCGTGGGGTGTAGTGATGTAATTTGTCGGATGATCAATCAACACGTGGGATATGCTTAAAATATTGGCATATGGATGTACATATGCATCAACTTTAAATTCATGCAATTTGGATTCAATTGTCAAATCAAATGAAATTTATGTTTACTTGGTCATAATCTGACCAGTATATTTTTCTTACAGGTATTCGTAAAAAGTGTGCTCTTTCTTTTCAAAGATAAGAGAAATCTTCCTAATGAGCACAATGTTGAAGCCTAAAAGGACTCTATTATTGAAAATGATGTTGAAACTTGGGTTATATGGTCAACAAAGAAGAAGGGTGCCATGAATTGATGTGTAATTTTTTTTTTTTTTTTATTTTGGTTTTCGAGGGTGTTTAGGTCAGTTTGCACGCACTTCAATTAATCCTTTGAGTCTTTGAAATCAACGGTCATGGATTTTACAAAGAATTAAATTCATGATAACGATTTCAATTAAGTACTAAGATTTGTCATGAAATTGAAATTAGGTTAGAGTACATTTACACATGTGAGACACAAGCGTGCAATAGATAAATAATTGAAGATGAGCACTGTTTGAAGATATAATTTTTTTTCTCATAATTTATAGTATTTTGTTATTTGGCAATAGTAATAGTGTTAATGGGGGGTCAAAGAAAGAGACTAGTGGAGAGCTTGGCCGTTGGTAGGCCTAAAGAGCTGAGCAAATTCGCCTGCCAAATATATTGTCTGGCAAGTGATGAGGTCCTCTGCTAAATCACTAGGGACAGAAAATAAATGTCATATGCAGGGTCAACTTAAATTAATCAAATGAATGTAAAATTACGGAGCCAGCAAACTCTTTGGTTTGATTTTGCAAATTCACTGAGCAGAATTTCAACGAAGCAGATGAACTATCTCAGACGAAAAGGCTGCCAAGCTCACTTCTGGTTTGTTTCATCTCCGCCTTTTGTAATCAATTAATAGAATTCAAAGATAATGTTCTTTAAAAGTTTAAATCATATTATTTGACTAATATATCAAAATTTTCAACTACCATTTAATCATCGTTATGACATTTTTTCTTTTTTTGTCAAGATTGAGAAGAAGGGGCTGGGAAATGGGAACTTTGGTATATGTCAAAGTAAAAAATGATGAATATATATTGAAATGAGAGAAGAAAGTGAGAAGGAGTGGATATTACCAACTAGTGGTGAAAAAATTTAGGTATAAAGTCGCATTGTTTTGTCGCAGAAGTGGTCAATTCAAGTTAAAAAGAAGTATATCATAGTTTGAAGTTTGAAATAAGAAAATGTTTGAGTTAAAAGACTTGAAAATTACAATGAGAATATGTATGTAATTGGTGTGGAATGTGAAGGGATGAATAGATATCCAAATCAATGGTGATGAAAGAAAGAAAGGAATGCTGTAAAATCATTGAAAAGATGTGAATGTGGGTACAAATATCAACTTTAAGATGTGAATGTGGGTACAAATATCAACTTTAAGTCTTAAACATGGGTATTGAAATTCATTTGCAGAATTCTTCGTTTTTGGGAGGTTGAAGTTGAAGCAGATGGTCCCATTTCGTGATAATAATGAAGAGAAACTTTTACTTGAATCCAAAGAGTCGGCCATCTTTTTAGTGAAGAATGAAATGCAATTAAGCCAACTTATTATGACTTGTGGGGAGCCATCGTAAACAAAATATTGACTCTTACCTTACTCAGACAGTAACACTCTGGTTGTATTGCATCCTTGAGCTTTCCGACACTGGAAATGGTATCTTTTATTCTAAAGTTTTCTTTTCGCAAAGTACATTTGCTTATTAAAATCTAAGTATGTGAACAAGATCTTAAAAGAGTATATTTGTAGTTCCACTACAATATTATGTCATCATGCACTGCCCCCTCAAACAGTGGGGGATTTACTTAATGAGGAGTGGGGACCAGGGCCCCCACTCAAACTTTAAAAAACTTCGATGGTATAAATATTTATATTTAGTTACATTTTACCCCCTATAAGACTTTGACATTTTGCCCCCACAAATTTTTTTTTGTTTATTTTTTGCCCCCATCGAGTGAAATTTCTGGATCCGCCACTGCCCTCAAAACAAAATATTTTATTAAATTATTGCTGACCAAACTTTTAATCAACTTGGAAACATAAATTAAAATATCTGCAAAATAAATAATATTTATTAATTAATGAAATTAAACACAATTAAATTTCGATTTTCAATAACATTATTGTTCAGTTTGTTTTAAATATTGGTACGATGCAACATAGATGTTCAATTCAATTGTTATATTTGTAATAGGAAATCAATTTGAATTTTGATAACACATATAGTATAATTGACTGTTACCTGATGAAAATGATTGTTAAATTAAATTTTAATTATTTTAAACCGGAAATTAGTAAAGTTAGAATTTAAATTAATGAATGTGAATGGTCAAAGTACTGTACTCTATAGTCTGTGACCTAAATACTTTGATAGTAACGTTAATGATTGATAACAGCACAGCACTTGAAGCAAATAATATTCAATTTTTAAAAGTATTTAATAGAATGAATAAAAGTCAAATTTGTTATCCATAAAACTTTTCTTCCTCTCAATTATTATTTTATATATAATGAATAAAATAATGTTATACGCTCCAAATCTTTAGTAATTTTTGGTTTGATTTTCTCTCGTTTTCCCACCTCAGACAGACCAATTCATTCAAAACCAAAACCCATTCAAATTGCCATATCTTCTTATTCCTGATAAACCTACGAAGTCATCTGCCGTAATAAAAAGAATGTGATTAAAGTTTAGCATCATGATCACCAAAATTTCAGGGTGGATTTACTTTTGATTTTATAATAAAGTGGCTGCTCAAAAGGTGAAAAGGCTGCTGCGTGCAACGGCACACTCTGTTTGACTAATGGTAATTTTAATTTTTGAAGATTTACTATACTTTTAATATGGTTGAATGAAGCCAATACCAATAAAATATAACAAGAGTGGAGCTCTTTTAATTCAACAATTGTTCAATAAACAATAATTAGTTATGGTTTTTGTTTGTTAAAGGTCCAACAATGATGAAGCATTAGCTCATTCTGACCTTTTTTTTTTTTTTTTTTTTTTCTTCGTTTGGAACTTCACTTCACCACATTGACATAAGCTTTATATTCATACATAGTCGGTTCAAAATGCAGAATTAAATTGATAAGTGGAGCCCAATACTTGAAATTTTCACATAAGCTGACAAGCTATAAATATCAATGCTGATGTTATTATAACGACTATGATCAATTAGATGAATGTTAATCATCAATTTAATCTTTCACAAGACAAGACCATGTTGGTAGACCAAGACAAATAAAAATAAAGACCTAGACCTAGTCCTAGTCCTCAATACATCATAAATCTTTGGCCTTCTTCCGATCATAAGTAAGCTCAAATTTTCATGTCTCTGTAATATACTCTTCATCAAATGCTAAACTTTCTCTTCTTTTGTATGGTTTGACTTCTATAACCATCAACTTCCTAATCTCACTAACTTCATTCATCATTCTACTTCAATTAATCCACATCAGGCCAATTAAGGCTCATTACATTGACCTACATTGGATCAATATAATCAACCAAATGGAAGTTACAATATCTAAAAGGCCAAAACCATCTCAGCATTTACTCTACTCAATTTAAATATTAAAATCTCTTACCTTGAACAACATATATATCCCATGAATCCCAAAATACTACCATGCAAAGCGGCTACCTGTTCCATCAAGGAAACGATCAGTATGCCATCCTTTGCTCTGCAGTTCAGTCACAAATGGGGTGAACACGCTATTCATCTTCTCATAAGCGTCTACCAACACAGTAGTACTTGGATCATGGAAAGACTTGTCCATGGTGGCAGCGAATGCTGCAACTAACCAACCCCTCAATGCATCTTCACCTGTAGCATTGTGCTCTAATGCCATGTCAGTCCATTTATTTCCACGATTTAAAACAAACTTCTCCTCGCCAAATATCTCTTTTAATTCCTCAAGTTTTGAAGGCTTGATAACCTTGTGCAGAGCCCTGCCCACCTTTACATTGCCAGCATCTTCTATAAGTCGACCAGGAAATAAGAGATCTTCTCGATATCTTAGATCAGCAGGGCTAGATATTCTGCCAGTCTGAATTGAGTTCCAATCAAGAATCAGAGAGATGAAAAAAAATCACCAATGAGCACAGTTTTCATTCAACATACCTTTACAAAATCAGCCACAATCATTGCAGTCCTCTGTGGATTCAATGTGTTGACAGGAACAGCATGCATTTCTTCAACGACACAATACACATGTACGATCGAAAGAAGGGGCCCAACTACCAACTGCAAGAATATATTCATGGTCACAAGTTTGGAATGCGAACCACTCATCTAAAATTTTGTCGACCAATTTTTTTGTTTGTGCCATTCCTCCAGTAAAATGCTGATAATAGGCAGCATGCCAATTAAAAAAAAAAAAAAAAAAACTCCAGTAGCTGCTAAAATGGGTAAATTTACGCAAAAAATAGAAGAAATCCTCTTAACTGTAGATAATGTCAAATAAAGACATGAACCAAAATCTCAACAGTGTTCTTCCTTCAAATGAGAAACATAATTCCTATACAAAGATGAGACTGTGAAATAAATTTAATAGCATATAGTAATAGGTAATAGTTTCTCTTCCCAGAATTTCATTTGAGAATAAGGACCGGTAAATCATTATTCTTAGGTTTCCTAAAGGCTTTTCAAATAGGAGAAAAAAAGTTGTTTGCCAGAAACAACTTTTGGGCTACATTAACCTAAACAAGTTAAGAAGAGCTATACAACAGGAATTTACACCATATGGATAGGATATAATAGGCAATCTGATACACATCAGAACGCCCCAACAATCAGACTCATGCAGTATTTCAAGGAAAATAAATGCATATAATACCACAGAAAACACAGTTCATCTTAAAAATATGAAGTTTTGATTTTATGTTCTCACCGTCTGGTACTTATATTTCAATTTTCAGGTCAGAAGAAGTCATAAACAACACTGATAACATACATGTCGTATGTAAAGAAACAATAGGACAGTAAATCACTGATAATATTTGAAGTCCAGTGCATCAATATAAAACTAACTTCATGCACAGTATATTATTAACAAAAGAGATCAAAAAAGTACATTATTAACAAAAGAAAATAGATTTTCATCAAAAAGTGAATACCTTTCCTTGCATTGATGAACAAACAGTAGCTGCCATCTGAATCCCAGCTCCTATGCCAACAACATTAAAAAGAGTTGAGATGGCCTCCCCTTTTGCAAATAGGTCACTGAGATTCCCCTCTTTGGCAAATGATGAATATATGGGCAATCTGGTTGCTCTTGCTGCAACCACCGCGATGCCCTATCAAATAGAAAATTAAAGTAAATTTCAACATAGAGATATCAATAACTGCAAAACTGAAGGGTAAGAATTTATTCAGTGGCCATGAACTTGAAAGAAAAGAACAGAAAAGAAAAAGGAGGGAAATCAAAACAAGTTGTGCAGCAAACTTCGCTCTCATTTTCGTTCTGATTTAATGGTGCTAACCACGAAAATCATATAATAATTCAACATACTACTAAAACTTTTGAGGGAAAAATATAAAGCTGGGTCTTGAGAAAACCAAATTAAAGAAAAAAGCACATACCTTCGCAAAATTGCCAAGGCCTGCCATTTCAAGAAAAAGACCTGGGCATAAAGGAGAAAGGACTTCCAAGCCAGAGCCCAAGTCATAGAGGACATCAGCTGCAAGGTAGAATCTTTTTCTTGTTAGACATTTATAAAAGTCATAATATCATAGATATTAGATAGCACAGAGCTAACTCCATGCCATTAAGATTATGTTAAGGCATGAAAAGCAAGTATAAAAAGAGGAGAAAGTAACAATGTCTAGAGTCAGGATGCAAACCTACGATCCTCCAACGCTTTGGCTCTGAATCCATTCTAGCACCAAGATTACTACATATAAGCTTCCCTACGTGCTGCATTCCATCCTTCAGTATCTGCTCATCAACAACACAAAAAAAAAATTCTTAAACGAAAATGCAATTACAGCTAGACATCAATCATTAATTCAAGCAATAACAACTTAACTTACCCAACTCACAACAGTCGCCTGTGCAGGAGTGGGTCTCAAGCCTGCAGCAAATAGCAGTGACTGCAAAAGAGTAAGAATACCAAGAAACGACGTCCCATATCAAAGCAATTCTTGCATGTACATACCGAACAAGAACAATTAGAAGCACAATTAATAATTACTGGCAACATTGAAAGTATGAGATAAAGACCTGAGTGGACAACACTGATAATGCAGCACTGGTTAAGTGTTGCAGAGCCCGAAATTGTGTGTATCTAAGATACCCTTCATTCACACTACAAATATAAAACACCCACAAAATATAACCGCAGCAGAAAAAAAAAATTAAAAACAAGTTATTCTAACTAGTGCCCCTCTGCACAAAATGAGTTACCTGTACGGATAACCGGATGGGAAAAATTTATTTAAGAAAGATTCAACAGCCCTATGGTACACTGGTCTGGAGTCATCCAAAACCTTCACCTACAAGAAATAAAAATGATTTTTTTTTTTTTTCTAAAGAAAAAGAAGGAATTGCAACATGGGTATTGTTAAATGGGAAGAGAAACTGACAGAGAGATAGCCATCGGGTTTAAACTGGTAGTGGCGCGTGATGGAATTGGAAGTCTCAAACCAGTCAACTGGGATGTCTTCCATCGCCATAGTTTTATCTGGTTCCTTCTTCTTCTTTAATAAGTTGATTTTCTCCTTAAAAACACGGAATAAAGGGAATTAGACTTAGTTTTAGTTTCAGTTATTATTCAATATTTGTAAGTGCGCCAATTAATAAATATTAATAAATACCAGTAGGTTCATGGACACTGGAACCAGTGCGAAGAGTGTAGCGTAGGATAAGAGGGTTTCACGCCTTCACGGTCGCCTCGGAGTTTCCGATATAAGAATTTGTTTTTTAAATAATTTTCTAATTATTATTTTTTGTTAAGAGGCAAATGCGAAACGATATAGTGCTAGTGCTTGGTGGATCTCATGGATCGGCTTATTAGGCTAATCAACAAAAGCCCATTAAGCTTTTAACATTTTGAGCTAATAGAGTTTCAAGTGTTTCTTATCTATTAGATTCGCGGCATCAATACTAATATAGTTCTATAATATGCAAGTTTAATTATTTATAACTTCAACTAGTTACATGCAGATCAATCGCCTAGTTCAATCTAAATGTAAACAGTTCGTTGAAGATAGTTTCAATTCACTTTACTACCAAGTGAAAGGTGCCAAGCATCTGTGATGTGACCCCGTCCCTGGTTCAATATCAGACAAAAGTTCAGGTGATTCTATTGCTTGGTTAAAATTTGAGTGCACTTCAACCTGGCTTTCAGAGCGGGAACAAACATTAATAGTCCTTGCTGCTACAGACAATGTTCATAAAGCTCCAACCTAACACAAATTATAAGGGAACTTCATCCTTCAATCTTTCTCTATAAATTAAACAAATAAGAATCAAGTCAGGCAACTGAAGCCATGAAATATACCATATTACCATTAACATAGTATCTGCCGAAGGAACAGCCTCTCAGATCATTATAGTTAGTTCATGATTCCTTTTTGCATCAGTCAAGTGAAGTTTTTCCTTGCCCGAGCAATTGTAATTTCTGCCATTAACAGGATCTTATAAGTGAAAAACAATCTGCCTCAGGCTCCAGCTGCAGCAGATCTCGCACAAAAGGGGCAATGAACATGCCAATTTTACAAAGTCACATCAGGATCATCATCATAGTCAAAATCTTCACTTGAATGCCTGATTCTTTTTGCGTCTCTTGAAGCGCCTCTTCCCTTCTTTGGTTTACCTCTGAAAACAGTTTAAGTACACATGTTTCACATCACTGATGATATAATTTTAGACATCATGGTGCTATATATTAATCATAGTTATCAATCATTTTGAGCCTCAATAATACCATAATACTTTTACTGAGAATAAAACAGTAAAGTACTTACTGCCCATTCCCAAAGATACCTCCACCCTTAGACCGACCTGGACCACAGTCTGATCTCCCATCTACAGTTAATACAAAGGAAGAAAAAATAATAACAAGACAAGACAGAAAAGATTCAAAAGCCTGCATATATGGGCTCACCATCTCGTCCAATTGCTTGCTCTTCAGCCTGACAAAAGGAAAGAAAAATTGAAGAGAAACCCCATAAAGAAGTATTCAGTACAACCTCCTAATTTATTTTTAAAAGAAAACTGCATAAGTAGTGCTTGGGGATTTTCTATATTACTAAACATTTACAATTCAGAATACATACTGCTGGTGAGGTGACTGAAGATAAAGAGAAGAGCCTATCTTCAGGCTGGAACTTCCTTGACCGCTTCAAGCTGCAGCCACAAGCATTGATAGTTATGTTCAAATAAGTTCATAATGCAGCATATATCAAGCTATTCTATTTCATAATATATCTAGAACCAGTCATCCTAAATCTATGCCTATTAACATGTAGTGATTTTAAGGTCTCTCAGTATGACATGACTTGTGAATGGAAACTTCAAAAGACAATGAATTATCATTCTTTTCTCTTTCTCTATGAATTTATGTATATATTATTCATATTTCATTCTCTTTAATTGGAAAGTAACCACGCAAACTTATAAAGACGTAACAACTCTTAAAAAAAACAGGAAGTCAACAAAATACAACTGATTCATCAATGAAATTAGTTAGGATTATAATTTTAGATACAGAAGATAAGGCAGGACAATTTATTCTTTTCAAGTAGAAGAAATGAAAGAGAAAGTATATAATGGCCACTCCATACAGTGCAGTGTTCTTAGATGAAGATAAGAACCCTTCAAAACCTTTCAATACATTGCCACATTGGCTTGGATCTTGTAAATAACTTGTCTCCATATCATAGACCTGAAAAGAAAAAAAAAATATATATCAAACTCAGTAGGGTGGTGAGAAAACCAAAATCAGTATCATCAAGGAAAATTCTTAGATAAGAATAGGAGCCCTTCAAAAGACTTGTGTACATACTCAGAACACGCCTTAAGCATGAGGTTTTCAGCATAGCTGATGATTCATAAATTAATAAAACATTACTAGTGAACTACTTATGTGTCTAGAACCTAATGCTAGAAAAAGCTATTGCTAGTAACATGTATCAAGTTGCCAGTCAGGGATATTATGATTAGTAGAACTTTCAAAGGTCTATTTTCTAGAGCAAGGTAAAACTCTTGAACTGATAAGTGAAAGCACTTGTGTTAAATTATAACCAAATATCCTTCTTAAGATCAGCTTCAAGGAAGAGATCAGCATTGAGTAATGATTTTTTTCAATAGAACTTTTACCTCATACACGGTATCTATATGCCATAAAATTTAGCATCACAATTGGACTTCCAAGATTAAATCAAGCCTACCTTAGTTTGCCAACAGGACCAATAGCATTCAAGAAGGAACCGAACAGTCTTAGAGGTTAGCCAATCACTTTAACAACCCTTTTCTTTTTATACTTCTACAATGCAACACTTCTCCAACTTGAGTAAACCCACAATCTCATTTTAAAACCCCATAATCTATAAGGCAGTCTCGAAAAACTTAATACAGAAATACCCAACTCAAATACATGTAGAAAACCACAAGAGAAAATAATGGATTCACCTGTCGTTCAATGTTACGTAGCTCTTCGAGAAGCTTGGCTCTCTTGCTTAGAAGTGAAGCCATCACTGCCGATGCGCTGGCTGGGGTTCGTTGTCCTGAATTTAACCCAACAAAAAAGCAACTAAAATAAGTATTGAATAAACATATTTCTCCTTATTGCAAAGAGATCGAGGAAAGGGAGTAAGAGGACACCATCAGGATCCATCTTTCGCGGGAAAATTTTAACGATCAGTGATGAAAGGTTTTAAACTTATAAACCCTAATTAGGATTAGGACCACGAATCTTTGTTTCGAAAGGAAACCCCTTTTATACGTTGTTTCTAAATTAATCAAGGTTAAAATTAAATTTTGGGTTTTACGGATTAAGACCATTAGGTCCTCTATGATGAGATTTAATTGCGTCACGTTATGCCAAAATCTGATGAATAAAGATGGGCTTTATGGGCCGGTGGGTACTGGGGCTAATCCAATGGACACTGACGGATAGATACTCGACAAAGGATAGTTCTTCCCCACATCAACAAAATGTTTCAAAAATAGGCCCAATTATTTTTTGGATCAAATAAAATTTTGGGGTCTGTTTATTTTATTATTTTGAATAGAATTTTAAGAATAATATTAGATAGTTGAACAGGAGAGTATTACGAGGTAAAATTTAAAAATTTATAAAAAAAAACCCCCTAGGTTTGCTAATTTAACTAAACACCCCAATAAATAAAAATTTTGTAAAATGACAAAAACACACATAGCACCTGCAGTGCCAGATTCCGGCCACCACCGTCGGAATCTGACCGGAAAATTGCGTGACACCACAGACCGATCGGATCTGACAGGTACGGCGTTGATATGGCCTTTTTCGGCCAGATCCACCATGGATCTGGCCGTCGACGGCCGCAAATGTCCATCTTTGGTCGTCAGCGACGGCCAAAGATATGGTCGTCGTTGTCTGTCAACGATGGCCATATCATTGAATTACTAGCCATTTCTGGTGGTGGTGTAGACCGTTGTGCCAGATTCCGGCTACCACCGGCGGTGGTTGCCAGAATCTGGCAAGTATTGGTGGATGGGGGTGTTTTTGTTAATTTTTAAACTTTTTTTAGGGGGTATTTAATAAAATTAATAAACTTAAGGGGTCTAAAAGTAATTAAAAATAGACTAATATTTCTCAAATAATGTGCCAAACAATATTTGGGGAATAAGATTGGAAATATGGGTAGAAATAATAAGCCAAACGGAGCATTGATTTTTTTTTTTCAAGGAAATTTAAAATGTGAACATTTGAGACAAATGGATAATTACAAATTTAATTTGTTTAAAAAGACTTAGGGGGCGTTTGGCTGGGGGTAATGTGGGATTACTGGAGTTATGTCATCTTATATTATTTGATTACCGCATTTGATTCTCAAGTAATATAAGATTTCGGTAATCTTCAAATAACAATAGTAGTTACTGTTAGTAATATTTGAGGTAATCTGATAATCTCCATTTTCTTAAGTATTCTAAGATTATCAGGGTAAATTTTTTTATTACAACTCTATCCTTTATTAATAAAATTTTAGGACAATAATGCCCTTATTTTTAAATTTATTTACATGAACATGGTTTTTACTATTTCACCCCAATTAATTAACTTTTTGGACAAAATTACCCTTAAATTCAAAACAAATTACAACCCACCCAAGCCACCAGCCCCACCCACCTGCCACTAGCAACCACTGTCGCGGCCAGCCGTCGTCGCTATCGAAACGGCGCACGGAAGGCCGAAAATGGTCGTCATTCATCGATATGACAATTTCCAGCCAGATATATGGTCGAAAATGGCTAGATTGTGTTAGATCTGGCCGTTAATGGTCACGTCTATAGTCGTCAATGGCCATCGATAACCAAATCTGTCATGTCTAGCCATTTCTTGCCTTCCATGCACCGTTAGGTTGCCGGCTACCAACAACCGACAGTGACTGGATTAGTGAGGGTGCTTTGTTGATTTTCCAAACTTTTATTATGTCGTTGTTTTTGCTAAGTTTTTAAATACATAAGGGTTATAATAATCCAAATAATAAATACATCTGTAAATCTGTTTAAACTCTTAGACCAGATGCTTGTGATTTTCAGCAAATACGGAAGAAAATGGTGAAGAGTGCCAAGGAGTGCATAAAACGAGAAGAAAACAACTTAGAAATTTATGGAAGGATGCAGGCTATCTTTATAGAAATGGATGCCTCTCCAACTCAATCAGAGTTGCAGCAAACTTCTTCAGTAGCTAAAGAATTGGAGCACTTAAAGGAGGCTGTGATGAAAGGTGATGATGGAGCAAATGAAAAAGGAAAATTTGATCCAGAGAAACACATTGATGCATACTTGCCTGTTAGAGTTAATGAGCAAAGGTAAGTAGCAACAGTTACAGTCATTACTTGTAGGTCTATCAGTGTTTGCTATGCCCATAATCAATATGATACCTACCTCAGTTCTTTGGGGTTACTTGCCTACATGGCCATCGACAGTCACCAGGTAATCAGTTCTGGGAAAGGTATGATGTCTTCATCACCCCTGATCGACGTTACAAGTAAGTCATGCACCTAAGAATAACAGTAGATACATGGTGTCTCAAAATTTTTCGCTATTCATTTAATATGCCAAAATTCAATATTTCCCTCCTAATTTTGATTATTTTCTGCTGGCTTGGAATTTGGCAGAGTTCTGGAGGGTGTTCTGCTTCATTTGTGGAGGTGGTACCATTCAAATTATTGCTTTGTTTACACTCTTCCAAATTGTATTTCTGGTTTGTTTCGGGATAACATGGATACCTATAGCTGGAATATTGTTCCCCCTCCATTCTCCTTCTCATCAGCATAAGACAGCACATCCTTCCAAAGTTTTCCACCCTAGTCATCTTCGGGAACTGGATGCTGCTGAATATGAAGAAATTGCTGGAGCTCCAAAGCTTCACCGGTCTCTCACCCAAGGTACGTTTCCTTACCTTTCTCTATAGATGAATGTTGGGTTCTAGGGTCATTATCCAAGATGACTATGAAGTTTTCCAATTTCAATTAATGGGCTGTTTATATTGCTTTATTGAAAATCCTTTCGGTGTTCTTGTCATTTATTCTTCTATTATTTGCTTGTTCTTTGCAGATCTTTCCACTCATAGGCATGGTAAAGTGTGTGAGATAATGAAACACCTGACAGTGGAATAATAGACAATGAAAATGAATTCTATGATGCTGAGCTATTGGATGAGATGACAACAAGCAGAGGTGAACTAAAGCATAGAAGTTATAAAGAAGAAAGGTTCTTCCAGAAAAGCCAATTAATCTCCTTCTTGTTGGGTAATGTAATGATTTGTCAAAAGTTTCTAGTTAATGCATGTTCATGCTAGAATATGCATGGTCTGCAGGTACATCCAGAAGATGCTGTCAGGTCAGAACAAAAACCAAAGTGATGATCAGGATATACAGTAAGCTCATTATGATGATACCAATGATATTTAATCAACCAGATAAAAACCATGCTCCTCAGAGAGGATTGAGGGATCTCTTTTAGTGAATCAATCTACCAGGCACAGAAGAAGAGAGGAGATAGAGAGGAGATGGGGAATGAAGATGAAGAAAAAGAGAGGAGATGGGGAATGAAGACGAAGAAGAAGAGGTTTAGAATATATATTTTTTTTTTAAAAGTATGGACGGACCGTCTAAACGTAAGGGGCTGACGTCCATTTCAGTCTAAACGTAAGGGACGATCGTCCAAAATTTATGAGTGGCCATCTCCAAAGTTTTTATTTTTTTTATTTTTATATTTTAGTTAAAGATTGATGTCTTTTATTTATGGATATCTGTCCAAAATAAAGGGATTATTGTCCATAACGAATAAACGACCGTTCTTAATATTTATAAATTTTTTTATTATATTTTAATTATAGACAGACGTATTTTAAATGAGGATGTCCATCTCTAATATATGAATCCCGTCTATATAATATAGACGAAAGTCTATATGAGTGACCGTCTATATAATATAAATGAAAATCTATATGAGTGATCGTCTATATGAATGAATGATTGTTCTTATTTGATGAATGAATGATTGTTCTTATTTGATGAACAACTGTTTATTAAAAAAAATTGATAAAAAAATTAAGTTACGTATACGTGTAGACCGATATATATTTTCGATACAAATTGTTCGGTGTCATAACTTTGTTGTTAAAGTACTTTAAACCTGCGCTTTACTTTTGATTGCCGAACGGATTTAACGTGGCATGAGATAAGAGTGTGACAGAGCAATAATAATAACGTAAAAGTAAGCTGGGCCTTCCGTAACAAAATACGCGGCGACTAGTGAATGTTGTCACACGTCCACTTGTCTCCACCACGTGCAAAGCAGATGAATCTGAGGGTCCCAGTGTGTTGACGGATGAGATGTTGTTTGCTTAGCTAGTCAACATCCCTTTCAATAATCTCTTTTTATCTTTACTTGTGTTCATGAAAATAGAAATAATTTTCACAAAATTCGATGTGGTCCCGTCGGCAAGCATAGAAATTAGAAGCGTTGATACTACGCACCGCCCCCAGCATCAATACAAATATCATTTGCTTTTCCCCTTCTGAGTGGCATTAGATAATGCTTTTTCTTATTTTTTAATAACCTATTTCCTTTATTCATTTGTCCTATCTGCATTTCATAATCTTTATTGCAAAAACGAAAAAGTACACAGATTCTTTGTATTCTGTAACATCAACCTATCTCTTAACTTTATTCACTACGCTCCTCACAATCCGAAGCTTCCCATTCCACCTTTACAAATTTCTCTCTCTTCCCACTGCTCGATTTTTAGTTTTTTTTTTTCTTTTTCTTATTTAGTTTAGTCGTATTAAACTTGGCTATCTTTTTCTAGTTTCTATATTCTGCTGTGTTCTTGTTCGTTAAATTTAAACTAGAGGGTATACTATTGCTGCTCTTTCAGTCTTGCTGCCATGTCTTTCAGAGGACTAAGTCGAGTAAGTCTTTTTTTCCTTCTTCTCTATGGTTGTTGTTCGTTTCCTTGTTTTCAAGTTATGGTTTTTGTGCACAACTATGCATGTTTGTATGGGAACTGAGATATAGAGCTTAATAGGTAGTTAATGGGTTCTTTAATTTTGTTGAAACAAATATTCCTGCTTTAAAGCTAGGATGGAGCTGAGTTAATTATATTTCTTTTCAATAAACGTAATCTGGGTAGATCTGGGTGGCGATCTTTTACTTGCTAATTTATTGAAACAACCTACCTAGTTAGAAACTTCGTAGTTGACAGACACAAACCTCATATTTTCAGCACCCTGCAGGGTAGAGTACTTAGTTTTATTTTTCAATCAAGTTTCTACTTCTTTTGAATCTTATCATTTTTCATATTGATCGTGCCATGATTCAATAATTTATTATAAAAGGAGAGGGTGAAAAGAGGACCAAACAGCTGGTGCTAATTTATCTGTGAATACACACTTGTATAAAGTTTTAATCTGTTCAATTGAACTATTTATTGAATTGGCTCTTTTCTTTCAGCCAAATGCCACGTCTGGCATGGGCGTGTCCGACCACAGCAAGAAAACATATATGGAATTGCAGAGGAAGAAGGCTCACCGTTATGTGACATTTAAGATTGATGAGAAGAAAAAGGAGGTTTTGGTTGATAAGACTGGTGGCCCAGCTGAGACTTATGATGATTTCACTGCATCTTTGCCAGAGAATGATTGCCGATATGCAGTATATGACTACGACTTCGTGACTTCTGATAATTGTCAAAAGAGCAAGATATTCTTCATTGCATGGTTAGTTTTCTTTTCCTTTTAGTTTCTAAAGGTTTTTCAATTTGATTGTTGCTCTGTGTTGAAAAATGAAATATCCTTGTTCAATGTGACAATCTGACATCAGGAAATTTGGGATCTGATTTATTAATTTTCTTTTCCAAGCACAAAATTGATACCTGTTTGGTATGGTGCTTGTGTTAATGCCTTGTTGATCACATCTGTTTCCTTTCTTTTTGATAACTTGACTTAAACGTAATCACATATTGTTAAGTAATCGAAGGTGTAGTTTTGCTTTGTTAGTTCCATGAGTTAAACCTCAAAAGAATTTCTTGCTATTGTTTGTGTCCTTTCATGTTGATAATTGGCTATTTGTTGTTATGTTCACTCTAGACTAAACTAAACTTCCATTACCATCTTCATTTACGACAAATGTAATTATTTGAGCTTGTTCATGATGACAATAACAATGCTGGGATAAACTAAAGGATTTCATATTTCTTATTGGTGATCCATCATTATTTAAGCATTTTCTCAACAGCATTATTCTGGCATTTATTCATCTCCTTCAAAAGTTTTCTCGTTAGGATCTCATTCTTAGTTGTATTCATGATTAATGAAACAGGTCTCCTTCAACCTCAAAAATCCGAGCCAAGATGCTTTATGCCACATCTAAGGATAGGTTTAGACGGGAGCTGGAAGGTATCCACTACGAGATTCAGGCTACTGACCCTACAGAAATGGATCTTGAAGTGATCAGAGACCGTGCTAATTGAAAAAATTTGCAGTTTGCTGTTCCTTCCTTGGCAGAAAAAAATCTGCTACTGGTTAGCAACAAATGAACTTTTGGCCCTTGCTTCAAATGAGCTATATTCAAAATTCTCTAAAGAAAAATAGTATATGAGTGGTCGTTGAATAACTGGCATCTGCTGGTGAAATTTGGTTCCTTGCTGTTTGCTGCTCTCAGAACATATTATCATATATATAGATTTATCTCCAACTGATGTTCTCTTTTCAATTTCTTTTCTGTGGTTTTGTTGCTATCAATTATTTCACCCCATCTACACACAGCTAAGAATCTAAACTACTTGCTTGCTTGGCAACAAGAATTTTCACAGCTGAAAATTAAACGACATTAACAAACAAAAAGAAGGTTTCTTGTTATGGATCTCTTACGTTACCCTTGCGGCACTGCCCCCCGTTTTCATTTTAATTGCTCTCTTCTTTTGTCTCCCACGATTTCCCATTAAATATGACCACGAAGGTGAACATCGAGCCCAAAAAGTTGACTTTAACCAAAATTATGAGTAAAGTTCTCCACCCAATAGCTGCAGGGTGCCCTGCATCTGGCCTTTGCCTCATCCTGGTCTTGGGCTAGAAACAATAAACCTAAAAATCTATCCACCATTATCTCGGCTGGCACAACAAATTTCTGCTGACAATTAGGTCGATATTATAAGAAAAAGGTTCAGCTATGCAGCAAAGCAAATCCTGAATATCAATTAGGTCGAAAATATAAGAAAAAATGTGCAGCATTGGTTTTCAACTTTGAGTGATAACCTTTGGATTATATCATACGAATGGTTGAGAGTTCTTTATATATATATATACTTCTTGGTTGACAAAAATCTAAACTTCCATCTTTGGAGGAATCCTTGACAGCTAACATTTTTTGGAATTACTTAATGTGACACTAAATGCTAATATAAGGTTCAACAAGTGGGCCTGAACTTTGATTTAAGAACAAAGCGCAGTGGAGATTTCCAAACCAAACAATTTTGACTTCAAATCGTAAAAAAGAAGATAATGATATGCTGCAAAAGATTTACAAAGCTGAGGAAGTTATTCAATTAAACTAAAGACTTACAAGAAACAGTCTTACGATCCACACCATAAACACTTTAGTTTTACAACATCATACTAGAAAATCTGGTAGAGACTCAACCTAAACTGGAACTGTCCTATTATTATGAGCAGCAGGCTGATCTTCTTCGGCATCAGCATCCTCATTCTCTCCAGACATCTCTTCCAAAGATTTTCCTTTAGATTCTGGTACCAAGAAAGTGAATAACATACCCAAAAAGTTAACCACACCCAGTACAATGAGTGAATTCCTTACACCAATACCAGCAGGGTACCCTGCATCTGTCTTGGTCTTGTCCTGGTTCTGAGCCAAATATAAGAATCCAAACGCACCCACCATAGCACCAAGTTTCCCAGATGCTGCTGATATGCCATGACAAGTAGACCTCAATCTGGCTGGGAAAATCTCAGCTGGGACAACGAATGTTGTGGCATTAGGTCCAAAGTTTGCAAAGAAAAAGGTTAGGGAATACATTATCACAAATCCAATTCTGTTGTCCTTATGAGTCCAGTGGTCATACGGAATGGCCAAGGCAAACATAAAGACTGTCATGAAGAAGAAACCCATCAATTGGATAGCAAATCTGCCTATCCTGTCAATGAGTAACACAGTGAACCAGTAGCCTGGAACAGTGCTGAAAAGAGCGATAAGAGTTTGCGCCCTTGCAATTTTGAACACTTCTTGAATGGCATTCATAGTCTTTGCAGCAGGAATCCACCCAATTGCACTGAAAATATCCTTTTGGAACAGATTTTGGCTGTAAAATGCAATGTCAAGCAAGAACCATGTGGTTGTTGTTCCAAGCAAGTGAAGTCCATGTCGACGAAGAAACGCTTTAGTGAACAAACCAAATGAATTGGTTGTAGCCTCAGACATTTTCTGAACCTTCTGTTCCTCTGCTTCAAGATCCACCTGCAAAACCTTTGACATATCTGATGCAGCCTGCTTTGCATTCTTTGCAACAAGGGCAGTGTAACGAGCGGTCTCTGGCATCTTCATCCTCCAGTAGTAGGTAAGTGCAGCTGGAAGTGCTCCAACCATTAGAATAATACGCCAGACATAGTCTGCTTGCGGGACAGTTGAAGCAACTGCATTGACCTCATAAGCTGGGGCATCAAACCTAGCCATGAATGCTGAAGAAATAATAAGCGCAAACATACCACCGGCTAGAATTCCAAAGCCCTGCATTGCAAATACAGCAGCAATGAAGGCACCTCGAGTCTTCTTGTTCGCATATTCCGACATGATAGTGGCAGAAAGTGGGTAGTCACCACCAATGCCAAACCCAAGCCAGAACCTGAAGAAGCAAAGAGTTGCCATGACACCGTTTGCACTATGGCCAAAGGAAAGACCTGAGGCAACTGAGCAAATAACCATAAGCATAAGAGTCATGCCATAAACTTTCTTCCTGCCCATCTTGTCACCAAGCCACCCAAAGAACAGTTGTCCTGCAAGAGTTCCACAGAATGCTACACCATTAACAGCAGCTGATACATTAGGAGGCAATGTTCCAGGCTTTTCTGCACCATCCACATGGTAGTATATGCGGCCGAGCAATTTAGTCACAAGGGATATGCAAAATAGATCATATGCATCGGTGAAGAAGCCCATTCCAGCAATAATGATAGCAGTGAAATGATACCATTGTGTTTTGGCTACATCAAGTGCATTAAGCACCCCTAATTGTTCCCCGGCCATGATTAGCTAGGGTTGCAATCCACCAGAGTTATTTCTCTGCTCTCTTTTCCTATACAAGAATTGAATCACAGTGAGAGAATGCACAAGAACTGACTGAAATTCAAAAAAGTTTCTATTGGTTGAGTTGACTAAACCAAGTTGACAAGTCTACACTGATGGCAATAGGATGGCTCCCATAATGGCCGGCCATCTTGAATAACATATTTAATTCTATGACAACCAGAAGAATACAAAAGGGAAAAAGAAAAAGGAGCCAAAGTCATCCTTAATCAGTGCGGGGAAAGTAGAAATGCATTTCTTGGAGCAAAAAGGTCAAACACACAACAAAGAATGACGATAGGCAATTAAATTTAAGTATTACATGGATCTCACTAAGACGAAAAATTAAAAGAGAAAAGTAGTTTGATCTCCTTAAGAAAATGGACAGTTCCAACTGCTCCATTTTTTCCTACCCTCTTTAGAAAACTTCACGGCTATTGATATTGAGTTGATTAGCCTAGTAATTTAAATAAAAGTGAATACAGAGATAAACAACACAATAGATCTCATAATCTTGAACGATTATCTTACCAATTTTTGTACACTAAAAATGATAAGATATTTGTCAAAAAAGTTGCATTCTTATTCTAGAAGGGCAAAATTTCCATGAGAATGGGAAAAAGCAAAAAAGTGAAACCCCTAAAAGGATAACTCTGTCTTTTCTTTGGAATAAACACTCTTTGTCTCTCTTTCTAGACATAACCACTAGAACAACACACTCTACCCCACACCACACCCACAGAGAGAAATTTACAACACGAACACAGTAACATGAAGGTTCAGGGAAACTCTGCGCAAAAAAATAATTAAATATTCAGATAAACAGTGTCATATAAAAATATCCTCAAAAAAAGAAAAAGAAAATATCGGCTTATTATAGAAGGGGAAAAAGTTGAGCAAAACTAAATTCATTAATGTAAGATTACAAAACAGATTCCACTTTCATTTGTATATAACAGTATTGGATTGTTGAAATAATTTAATAATAAGATGTGATACATAGATCCAGTAATAATGGCCAGCATATAATCCACCATCATGAAAATAATATTGGATGAAGCAACTCTATGGTTTTAATGCTCGTTTCTAAACAATTCTAATATGGAGTAAGCCCCTTATTGACATGATGCATAGAAGAAAAACGTTTCATAGTTAAAACATTAATCCAAGAAACATGCAAAACTGGAAAAAGGAATGCGATGCAAAGTTAAAAGGGGATCTTGCATGCATGAAAAAGAGAAGAAGTAGCCTAACCTGTAAATTCGGTCGTTTAATGGAGGAACAGAGAGAGTAATGTTACAGAAAGGAAGAGAATAATTATGCGAAATAAAACTGGCAGATTTGTTAGTAATTTATAGTGGAGAGGCAATTCAACCAACTCAAATATTCGACCGGTATATTCCCCTTCTTTTTCGCGCCAACCCTCGGGAAGCCTCTTTTGCTTCACACCTTGCCTTTTCACTTTAGGGGCTTTTGCCGTTATTTAATTACATAAAATAATAGGCGTCAAAAACGTCAACATCTGTCATTTTCTATATTTAAGTCAAAGGTAAACTGGCATAGCGTGTGAAATAAATAAATCCATATGAATGCAGACAATAAGTATGAAATTTCTTAGATGGTGAAGTTCCTCTGTATGATTTACACAAGCAAGTTTCTCAACTGCTCCAAAAATTATATGAGGATGTGGGTCTTGTAACAAAGTTGAAAATTCCAAGTCTCCTCCTGCACATGGTCTTCCTATATAATTAAAACTTAACACTCATATTGAATATTCAATCTTATATAATTTCATTTTCATTGACCCACTTGTATTGTTGTTGGGAAAGACCCATCACACCTGATTTAATCATATACACGTGTCTATCATTGATTGGGTTTTCAAATCATTGACTTTGAAGTCCGCGAATATTGGTATTCCGTTCATATTTTCCAACTTACCCAAAACGCTATGACTTTGGATGTGGATCACTTCAATAATAGGGGGGAAGGGGATTAAAAAATAAAAAATCTTCCTGATTAATTAATATAAATATATACGTCACCGTCAAGTGTAAGTTTTATCCCAACTGCAAATGCCTTCAATTTTCATTTACAGTATTTAGTTTACAGTTTGATTATTATAAGTATTTAATTACAACCCCTTGAAAAACGAAACAGCTGTGAGTAAACGCTGACTCAAAATTCAACAACAAAATTACCTTAAAAATTGAGTTAATGTTCAAATTTCAATTTATGACTCTGATTAATTTTGCAGAGCCAGGGTTACATCATTGCGGAAGAGAAAAGAATTTAAGCTGATCTATATTTAAAGAGTAAACGGCTTTTTCCCCCCCAACGGTTTGTCTTAAATGAAACTTTCTCATCCAAAAAGTTTTAAAACACCACTTCTCAACCCAAAATTTATATTCTGTTGATATTCAAAATACACCTTACTTTCTTAACTGACAATCAGTTAGTCACCAAGAGCTAGGATAAAAGGTTTTTTGAAGCGTGAAGATTGGTGGGTCGAATGATAGTGACCAATTGAATATTCGTTATCGAAATTAGCCAAAAATCAACTAAGAATAAGAAGCTCTAGTTTTACGGTGACCGGTAATTAATGAGAAATTAAGTGCTAGAGTAAGAGGAATTTTGTAAAAAGGAGACCGGAGGTTCAAATAATGATGACAGAGAGAATTTTTACCACCGGAATCGGTTTTAGCCTTTAGTTAGTATCGAAATATTAACTTTAGATAAAAAAGTGATATTTTGAAAATTTTTTTTATGGAAAAGTGTAATTAAGGCAAACCTTAGGTGGGAAAAAAGTCGTTTACTCTAATTTTAAAATACAGGAGCAATCATAGTTTGCCAAAACGCCACTTTCCATGGTTTAGATGAGCCAACAATTGAAAATTACAAAATAAAAGTCAAATTAGATTAATTTAATTGTTGAAAATTCATGTACGTTACTTTAAACTATATTTATAAGAATCATGATATGCCCATTGTGAATAAATACAACGAAGTTGGTGATCAACTATTAATTAAAAGTAGAGAGTTGAGGGAAAATAATTGCTTGACGGAGTGGTATGGAGATTATAATTTTTTGTTGTAAAGATGAATAAAAATCTTCAAACTTTCAGCCAACCCTATGATGTTTGCAACCATGTGATTTTAATATATTAATGTCCATTCTCAAGGGCCAAGGTTTAAAGTAGAATTTCCTGGAGCTTTTTTCACCGTTGATGTACATCTCCAATCAATAACTATGGCTGTGAAAAAAAGTTGTCACAAAAATCTTATTCGATCATGCTCATGACTACTGCAGCTTGAGAATTCTTTAATTTGTTCTATCTGTCTCCCCACTTTTGGATTAGTGGGAAGCACAGTAAAAACTTTTTAACTTAAATTCAACTGCATATTGAAATGGTATCCCTCAAACTCCCTAATTCTGTGTAACGTGGCTCAATAAATGGAGTACTGTGAAAGAGAGATGCCCAGAATTTATCTTAGTTATGGATTGTCTCATTTCTAGTGCTAAAACTTCCATCTCATGAGAAAGAGAGAAAGAAGCATGAGAATTGTGTCGACAGACACCTGGTATTTTATTATTCATCCATAGAACAAATTAAGCCCACCATTAGCAAAAAGAAAAGTAGCATTTTCTTGATTGTTAATTCTCCACCTTGAATCAATGATAGTTCTTAATGTTAAAAAAATCTTGTAGATCATGATCATGACTGCTGCTTTGAAACTCTTCAACGTGTAGTGTCTCCTCACTTTTGGTTTAGTGGGCAGCATAGTAAAAATTTAAAGTCAATTCAATATAGGCGACCAGCATTTTTCCATAAATGCAGAATGAAGTTCTATCTTCTCTTCTTCTCCTTTATTGACAAGAGCAGAGAAGACTCAGGAGTGAGCACTTGGAACGTGGGTTCCCAGAAACTCCTCAAATCCTCGTGCTGGCGCTGATGAGTTGTGAAAAAGACAAATGCAGCTTTAAAAGTTGTGTATTGTCTCTTGTTAGTAATAGTGGGGGCGAAAGTGCATAAATATCAAACTTCTCATGGGACTGAGAGGCCCAATAGGCCATTGTTCAACTGTTAACTGCTTAATGGACCTATGTAGTTATGTTTAGCATGACAGACAATAGTTGCCTGCAGAATAGCTTCCCCATTAAACTATCCTGGATAATTAGTGATAGATTTTCGGTTTTTGACAGAGACAAATTGATAGCCTTGATAACTGATTTTTTTTCTAGATTGGATGGTTACTAATTATATGTATTCATGATATCAAATAGTATAGTATATATACAGTATATTAACATCAACATCCTAGAATGACCCAATAAGTAGTGATTTATTGTGAGTGGAATCTGACAAGACCAACAACACATTAGTGTTTGGGAGGAAAAATAAAGGTGTAAAAAAGGGATGAGAGACTAATTGTCGGCTGTATGCGTGAGTGTGTGGGTGGTATTAGGTTTATGAGAGAGTGACAAGTGGCAAGTGATAAAGAGAATGGGGAGTAGTGTTGTCACGTAATTGCTATTCAATATATAAAGAAAAATGCTACAGACACCTAATGCTGGTGTCGAAATTTTGCACCGACCTATGTGGCATCTGACTCTGATATGTCACGTAGTACACAATATAGGTATTTAGTGAATGAACAGTTGTCTAACAATTATGGACGTTCGTCTATATCTTATAGATAACTATTCATCACGAATGGACGAGAGTCCAAAAAATATCAATGGACTCCCGTCCATATTATATGGACGGTCATCCATATTATATGGACAGCTGTCCATATAATTTTAGATGAAATATTCATTTTTAAAGCACAAAATTTTTAGATGAAATAAAATAAACTTTTTTTTTTATTTTAAGTAAAAGTATGGTCACCAGTCCATCTAATGAGGATGGCCGTCCATTTACAATGGACGGCCATCCAAATGAGTGGACTGGCATCCATTCTCAAATAATTTTTTTTTAAATTAATTTTTTTTTTCATTTATAAACAAAATGCAAAGTAAGAGAGAAATGAAACATGTTTTGGGAGGCCTAAATTTTTAAACATTCTAATTGAAAATTTTAAATAATTCTTTTCATTAAACTAAAATTTGGGTATGGACGGCTATCCATCTTACACGGACAGCCGTCCATTGTATATGGACGCCCGTCCATATAAGATGGATGTATGTCCATTATTTGTTTTAAAACTTTTTTGGACGAGCGTCCATTGTCCATTGTAAATGGACACCTGTCCATATTATATGGACAGGAGTCCATTGATATTGTCGTGGATGATCGTCCATTCGTGATGAACAGTCGTCCATAACGTATGGACGGCCGTCCGTGTAAGATGGACGATCGTCCATTCACGAAATCAGTATTTTCTTTCCAACATGACCGCGTCTTAGTGGATGCCACGTCGTTCTGTAAAAAATTTCGGTGCACAAATTCAGTGTCCGTAGCATTACTGATATATAAATTGAGGTTATTCGGTATTGCTTGTGTTCTTCAATTGTTTTGAAGTGATTAAACTGTTATGGTGTGATTGGAATTTTTGGGTTGTTGACTATTGGAGTTTCAGGGTGATCTGGGTGGTTGTTTGTGAGTGATCTTTTGCAGGAGAAGCTTGGGGTTTCTATCAGAATCCCTGTTCCATTTTCTTATTAACATTTAAATTTACTATTTTATCCTTTAATAAGGCTTGAGAATTTCGTATGTGGTTTGTTTGCTTTAGCAAACCTGTGCCTACCAGGCTACCAGTATAAAAGTCCCTTGTACATCCCTATAATGGCAAAAAAAAAAATTAGTTCACTTTTCTGGGATTACATCTTTAGGTTGTGTAGCTCTCACTAAAACAATTATTTATAGCTTCCCACTTTTGGATGAGGGGGAAGCACAGTGAAAACTTTTTAACTTAAATTCAACTGCATATTGAAATGGTTCCCTCAAACTCCCTAATTCCATGTAATGTGGCTCAATAAATGGAGTACTGTGAAAGAGAGATGCCCAGAATTTATCTTTAGAAGTTATGGATTGTCTCATTTTTAGTGCTAAAACTTTCCATCTCTTGAGAAACAGAGAAAGAAGCATGAGAATTGAGTCGACAGACACCTGATATTTTATTATTCATCCATAGAGCAAATTAAGCCCACCATTACTGAAAAAAAAGTAGCATTTTCTTGATTGTTAATTCTCCACCTTGAATCAATGATAGTTCTTAATGTTAGAAAAATCTTGTAGATCATGGTCATGACTGCTGCTTTGAAACTCTTCAACGTGTAGTGTCTCCCCACTTCTGGTTTAGTGGGCAGCATAGTGAAAATTTAAAGTAAATTCAATATAGGCGACCAGCATTTTTCCATAAATGCAGAATGAAGTTCTATCTTCTCTTCTTCTCCTTTATTGACAAGAGCAGAGAAGACTCGGGAGGGAGCACTTGGAACGTGGGTTCCCAGAAACTCCT